AAAACCTATCGGTTGTAAATGGGTGTTTGCTGTTAAAGTTCATCCTGATGGATCCATTGCCCGTTTGAAAGCTCGCCTTGTTGCTAAAGGATACGCGCAGACTTATGGAATTGATTATAGTGATACTTTTTCTCCGGTTGCTAAATTGACTTCTGTTAGGTTATTCATTTCCTTGGCATCTATTCACCATTGGCCGTTACATCAGCTTGATATTAAAAATGCCTTCCTCCATGGTGATCTTCAAGAGGAAGTGTGTATGGAGCAACCACCAGGTTTTGTTGCTCAGGGGGAGAATGGAAAGGTATGTCGTCTTCGTAAATCCTTATATGGGTTGAAACAAAGTCCACAAGCATGGTTTGGAAAATTCAGTCAGGTGGTTGAGAACTTTGGAATGAAGAAGAGTAAGTCGGACCATTCTGTCTTCTATAAACAAACTGAGTCTGGTGTTATCTTACTGGTTGTATGTGTTGATGATATTGTGATTACTGGTAATGATTCATCAGGCATCCTATCACTCAAAACTTTCCTTCATAGTCAATTTCATACGAAGGATTTGGGAGTGCTGAAATATTTCTTAGGAATTGAGGTAATAAGGAGCAARAAGGGGATTCTCTYATCACAGAGGAAATATGTACTTGACCTGTTAACTGAAACAGGAAAGTTAGCTGCTAAGCCGCGTAGTACCCCAATGATACCTAATTTACAACTTACAAAGGAAGGGGAGTTGTTGAAAGATCCTGAGAAGTATAGGAGATTAGTAGGGAAGTTGAATTATCTTACGGTTACGAGGCCAGACATAGCTTATCCAGTTAGTATTATGAGTCAGTTTATGGGTTCTCCTACGACTGACCATTGGATCGCATTGGAACATATTTGTCTATTTATATAGACTATAATAATGAGAATACATAATATTGGATTCTCTCCAACCTTAGTCTCTACACTAATAATAAAAATGCAAATAAAAAAGATTAATGATCTATAATTTTATCTTGATGCAAGAAAAATACTTGGGATCCATATTTATAATCTTTTAGCAACTGCTCAGCAAAAATGCACTTTTGTATGTACGATGATTATAGTTTTGCTCTAAAAGGAGACATTTCTGGGAGGATACATTTCCATATTATGCACATGATAATTTACTATAGTTTAAAAACATGCAATACACGTTAAAGTACTCATAAGTTGAGAAGAGCAAGGTACCTCTAATACAAGTAGAACTTGACGTTCACTACAAACATCTATAGTCATGGATGGTCTTGATCCATACTGCTCACTACCAATGATGAGCTTTTTCAAAGAACTTAGCAGAGCGTCTATATAATGGAAACACTACCTTTACTATTTCAGGAGACAATGAAATAAAATATATATATATATATATACTTAAAAAAGAAGAGAGGAAAAAGGAAAGAAAAAACCATGAAGAAATTGTGTTAGCAAGCAAAATAAATCAGTAACTTACCATTTGTTTTTGTGCTTGAATTACATGCATCTTTCCAGTTCTTAACCCGTGATTTAACCCGTTGAATGAAAACTGAATCAGCAATTGACTGTCTAGAAGAAGATTTCAAAACGTAAGTACTAGTTGTCGGAGTTGGACAGCCCATTCGAACTTTTGCTATAGACTCTTGAGCTCTAGATAAATAAGAAATGCCTGAAACAACAGGAGGACAAATATAATTACAAGTGAAACTACAGTATCAGATGATAGATTTAGCATATACAAAATTCATGCTGATAGAAAATTAACAGAAATAAACATATCTTCAGCAATCCACCAACAAAAATTGGGAGGTGGTTGGAGTTCTATTGTATAATTACTATATGAGCCATATGAATCTCAAAACAATGAGGCATATGTCCCTTATAGATATAAGGAGAGGTGATTTTTGGGAAGAGTCGGGTGGCCTTTTCAGCATTTGTGAACTTAGCTGGTCTTTAGCTGGTGAGTTTTACTCTGGAGAAATCTTCGAGGAGTCAAGTTTACTGAAGAGTGTATACTTTTTTATCCTCCCCTCGTGAATGTCAGATTTACTTTATCCAATTTGTGTATTAATGCAGTTTCTTGTCGGTTAGATGGATTTTTTCCTTTAAAGGGTGGACAAAATATTTTTGGGGGTATCAAGCAGTACGACAGTCCCAGAGTCGGTTCTAACCATCAACAAGTCAGCTTCTAAGTCAGGGATATTAAATGGGGTCCTTGTCCAAGTTTGAAAACATGTGGCACATCCTTATTTTAAGTTTTCCTTGCTCAACTAATGGTCAGATGATGTAGTTGGGAGGTTGGAGGCATTTACACTTACGAAAAGATTGAAGTCCTTCAAATTCACACCTAAAAGCCGGAACCTGAGGGTCTTCAAGGGTTCTTTTTTTCCCCTAAATTAAAAGACGATATTATTAATAAGATAAAACACTTTAGATGACTTGAATTCTATGGGATTTTGAGACTTGTTCAAACAGAAAAGATGGACTAGAAACAAATATCCAGTGAAGTGGGTTACTGAAGGTAATTGCGACACATCTTACTTTTATAGGGTTGCTAATTCTAGGAGACTAAGGAACTTGATTTCTTCTCTTGATCTGGAGAACAGGAACATCATTTCAAGGATAGAGAGATCAATAATGAATTTGGATTTTTTTCTTTCCTTTGGATGCCCCTCAAATTCTTGTTGTGCTCTTGTTGACAAGTTGGATGGCACCCAATAAGAGTTGAAGATAGGAAGTTTTTAGAACAACATTTCACTTTAGAAGAATAAGGAAAGTGTTTAGTTGTGATGGAGGAGAGCGTTGGTAACTTCTCTATGGTGTTCTTCTAGGAGAATTAGGGCATCTTCCAACAGAAATCACGCTCTGATGTTTTAATGAATTTTATAAGAGAAGTTTGGTAGACATTTCTATGAATGAACCTTTCATTTGTATACTTCCTAAAATGACTAGACTAGGGCACACAAAATTAAGGACTTCAAACCTATCAGTTTGTTTACAATCCTTAACAAGATCATCTCCAAGACATGGGGTTGAAATGAGAAACATCCTTTCTTGTACCATTTCTCCTTGGCCAAGGGGCATTTGTAGCAAACACATTTTGGACCAAGTCTTGGTTGCAAATGAGACCTTCGAAGAATGTCAAATTAGAAAGAACAAAGTATTGTCTTTTAGATAGATTTTGGAAAGGCCAATGATCATGTGGATCAAGAATTATGGATATGGTTATTTGCAAGAAAAGGTTTTAGCTTCAAATGGAGAACTTGGGTAGGAAACTGTCTATGCTTGACAACTTCTCCATCTTGCCTAATAATAGAATGATCAAAGGGGAAAATATTTGTAAGCAGGGGGATATTAAATAGGACACCTTGCTTTCTCCTGTTATAATGGATGTCCTCAATCCACTATTGCTGGGAGGAATAGAGAGGGTTTGACCAAGGGATTCGAGATCAGAAGGGATGGTATCCATCTCTCTCATTTGCAGTTTGCCGACAACTTTGTCTTCTTTTATCGAGAAATGAGTCTTATATTAACTTAACTAGTACTTTACATATTTTTTAGTTGATGTGGGGGGCTCAAAGTGAATGAGGAGTATTCCTAAGTGAGAATTAATTGTCAGGTGTCGCAAGGCTAAAATTAGGAGGTAAGCTAACCAATTTAGGCGTGGGGTTATGTCTTTATTTTTGTGTATTTAGGCATGCCTTTGGGTCATAATCCTAAAGCCTTTTCCATTTGGGAATTGAGCATTGATAAAGTTCAGAAAATGCTTTCATCTTGGAAGAAAACCATCTCTGCCAAGGGATAAACTAACACTAATTCCACCGGCGAGACCTGGGAAGGCAACCCGATTGGGAGTCAGAGGATCCATAGTACCTGCAGCCCCACGGACTTCATATTCATCATTTTAGAAAGCGGGGGGAAGGGATCTCTTTTCTGCAACGGAAAAAAACGGAGCTGATTTGACTCGGCACAACCTAACGATGCATCCAATACCAATGATCTGTCTATGCTTAGCAGAATTCTCCACTATTTCTCATCTCCTTCCAAAATTCTGGGTTGGTTAAAGAAGAAGTTGGATAAGCTTAGAGAAACTTCTTGTGTAAAGGGGTTGAGAAGGAAGTGGGTCTCTGGTAACTTAGGTCTTATGTCTCAAAATCTTGCAACGAAGGTGGTTTAGGAATTGGAAATCTGGGTTGTAAAATTATTGTCCTCCTCTATAAATAGTTATGGTGTCTCTCACAATCTCAAGCCTTGTGACCGGTCAGTGTGAAACCAAAGTAAATAGTCCATAATAAGGCTTACCATCATATATGCAAGCATCAAAATCAAAACCTTCACGAGCCATGGATGTTAGATGTGAAACTTGACATGAGAAACTGTAAGAAGGCATCCCAATGTTCAGTTCATCTCTGGGGAACAAATGAAAATTGTACCTACACCATAGAAGGAAACAGAGCCAATCAGTAACATCACTGACAAACGTCAAATGGAAAGCTAGAGTTCTTATCTCACAGCCATACTTCAAGGGCAAAAAGATACAAATTACAGGTGGTACTATCGTAGCCTAAGATGCAAGTAAAAAAAGAAAGCATACATTATGCATATACAAGTTCAGCAATCAAATTTGTATCAGATACAAACAGATAAAAGAGATTTCAGGTTTAAACGTCAAACCATAAGCAAAAAGCATTATCAATAAGTGAAGGATGGTGCAAAATGTTTACTTAGACGGACTCCAGGTTGCATAGAAATAAACATTGTTGTTAGGGACAATGGACCCTCCAAATTTCTAGCAGATTGGGCAAAATCCTCTTAACTTCCCCTTATCTAGTTAATGTGGGACTTTGATCGCATCCACAACAATCTTCCTCTCATACAAAATACCACCAAACCTCCCTTAAATAGTCAACAAGCCAACTCCTCTTCTCCCAAGCACACTACCTGTCCGATGGAGCTCAACCATAGATTACACCATAACTACACCTTCGAGGATTAAGTTTCACCCAAAAGGATTTAGTCCAATTGAGATATTGTCTCTCTCTTATATACTATGATATTCTCCTCATTTAGGCGGACTTTGATAGCATTCCCAACTATTGTTTAGTTCCATTTTTCACGTTCTCTCTCAACATCAGCTATATGTCAATAAACAACCAAATCTATTGCAAGGGCAGAAAATTTAACCAACACTAAAGAGTTCTAAATCCCCCATCCCCCATCCCTGCCCCAGCGTACAAAACTCCAAACATCCAAACATGAAGAGAAGCGGCGGTGGCACTCACGGATGAGCGATAAGCTTGGATTCCCGGACAGAAAAGGGGCAGAGAGCGAATTGGAGGATCTGAAACTTCTCGGCGGCGTACTTGGCCTTGCAATAGGCGGTGTGGGAGGTGTCAAAGGGCTGAAGGCGGTGCCAAGGGAACGAAGAAGAACCCGTCTTCTGGAGAGAGAGAGCGATGAAGTCGGAGGCGGAGATGTGGCCGTCCAGGTCCCCCAAGCAGCCATGGAAGTCGGATTTGCGAACTTGACGAACGCTCCATTGATTGAAGGTACTGTAGAGGCGTCTGTGGAAGTGGAGAGATGAGGAACGAGAAGCCATAGTTTCCCGTTAAGCTTTCATTCAAATCATACCGGAAAAAATGGAAACGCCGATATGGAAATGCAAATGGAAACGCCGAAGGGAAACTGTCCATTTCACCCCAAAAAATTTGGAACTTCATAAATTATGGCTTCTCTCAAATACTAACATTATTTTCAAATCAATTTTTTTTAATTTTTGAAAAATATTCGAATCAAAATTTTATCCAAGCAGCCCACGTTCGAAATGTTGATGTCCATGGAAATGTCGAGATACCGATTTTACGGATATGTCGACGGACTTGTCGATGGATATTTCAGAAAAAAAATACGAAAATTGTGAATATTGATACAAAGTTTTTGAATTAGTAAATAAGACTTTAATGGTAGCTTAATTAGTTCGTAATTATTCAATTTTGATCATCATATCTAAATATATCAATAATATACTTATAAAAATATCGTTGCGATAACGTCAGAACAAAATCATGTATATGCTTACATATAAATTATTTGAATTAGTAAATTAAAGTTATTGTTATCTATAATTTCTAATCAAATCTAATATTTAGTTACATAATTAAACAAGATACGTGAAATAGGTGTAAAATTTGAAAAATAAAATTTATTATATACAAATAGCGGTAATATAATTTAACTAATACTAAAGACGATCTGTTATTTTAATTCAAATAAACACATAATATTGAGCCAAATTTGAATGGACAAACCTCAATTTATTTTAAAAAAAATTTGATTCTCTTCCGTCCAGATTTACTTATTTTGTTTTTTTTATAAGAGATAAAAGAGATGGAAACAAACTTTGGTAAAAAAGAAAAAAAAAAGCGATTTCAAATTATTTAAGAAACAAAATCAATTCCTACGTTATCTTACCCAAAAAAAAACTATACATATATTTTCAAATTATTTAATCGAAATATCTATCGACACCACCAGTGACTAGTGAGCATATCTTTTCAAATTATTTTAAAAAATCAATTTATAGATTATAAGTAAAAAAAAAGGCATTTATTCGACATGTCGACATTTCCTCGACATTTCTTCGACATTGAAGAAAAAACGACATCTCTCTCGTGTCGATGTCGAAGTGCTCGACACATCGACATGTCGACGTGTCGCTCGAAATTTGAAACACTATGTGTAACTTGCGACATGTCAATGCCTCGTTCAAAATTTGAAACACTGCATGTAACTTGATGTGTACCAATATTTACTCTAAACTTTTAATTTCATTTTGCAATTTAAAATTGGAACAATTGTTGCAATTTTTACTTTATAAGAAGTCTTCATTTGAAAGATGAAAAAGACCTGCCTTAAACTTATTTCTAAGTTTCTTTTTTACAAATTATTGAGTGAAATAGAAAAATTGAACACAAGGCAAAATAATTCTATGGTTAAGACATGTGTTATTTTCCTTGAAATTAGGAAATTTGAAATTTCTTCCCCACATTGCTTGAACTAAAAATGATCACTAACAGCATCTCAAATTCTTTGACATGGTTTGGACTTTGGAGGATAAAGGTGTACACGAAAACCCTAATCCAAGTAACTCGACTCAAACCAAGTTAGATAAGAACTTGTTTGAGTTGGGTTAAGATTTTTAATAACCAATAAATTCGATTTGGTTGGGTGTTCATAAATTTTTATTTTCATTTATATTTAGAATTTTAAAGTTTTCGTATCATAAACTGTCTCTCACCTCTTTATCTCTTACTCTCACGATTTCATATTGAGAAATGGTTGCCTCTCACACTCATCTCTCTCTCAGATCTCGCTATCATTCATCCGTCGTTCGTCTATCTTTCATCTTTCCTCCATTGCCACTGAATTTTAATACAAAAAAGTAACATCAAAAGTTAATTCATCACATTTCATTTACAAGAGAAAGTATTACATTAGAAAAATACTTAGCCATTTAAAAATAAAAAATAATTTTATCTTTAACACCGTCAAAAACTAATTATTTAAAAAATATATATTTTTATAATTATCTACTTTCATTGTTAAATATTTTTCATCATAACAGGTATCTTGAGATTTGAATTATTGGGCCGAGTTGCTTCACCGGTAGGAAAACCATTGGGGTTGGTTCAAAAATCGACCCGACTCAACCCAGTCCGTGAACCGCCCACCGGGCCAATGGTTGAAATATTGCATCTTTTGGGCGAAGAAGTGGAGCGTGTTCCTCTCCTTAGTATATTTTGGGCAATCACGCGCGGTTCTCGCTCCATCTCTCTCAGTCGCGAGCCTTCCACAAAACCGCCGCCAATATCTCTCGTCGTCGTACGGTGAGTCAACTCCAAAATCCCCACTCTCTCTATCCATTACTTTGTTTATGTTTTGAGAATTTATGAACTGGGTCTGGTTTCTGGTTGCTGGGTTTAGTTATTTTTCTAGTTTTTGGTTGCGGGTTTTGGCTCTGGATTTTATGTTCCTCTCTTTTTGGTTTTTGTAATCTGTTATGCACTCCAGCAAGACAATTTTTTTGGTTTCGCTTTATGGTGTTGGTTGAAAATATAGTTTAGGGTGGCTACAATCTCTGGAGATAGTTAGAGTTAGAGTTGTATTGTTTTTGAAGTTCTAAAAATTAATTTTGTAATGTTAATGGTGATATAGATTTTAGTTTACGTGTGTTTTGAATTTACTGTTATCTGCAATATCGATAGGTCAAGGTAACTGTCAACTTTACTGGCTTATTAACTTTAGCCTTGATGAAGGGTTGAATGCTTTTCACAAAATCTAGACACTTTTATTTCAGTGAAAATTATTTCACCCATCTTCTTCACCTAAATCTTTAAGCAAAATTAGAATGGTTCAAGATGACATTAAGCTTAGTTGGAATAACAAGGGGCTTGGGGATTGAAGGAAAGGGTTGTTGTCAGTCAAGGACTCAAGAAGCTCATCAAATTTGTTGATTCTAACATTGTTGTTTTGCAAGAGTTTGAATTTTCTTTGGTGAATAGGAGATGTTCAATATCTATTTGGAGATTTTATGGGTGGATTGAGCTTGTATTGATTCCATTGGTTTCTTGGGTGGGATTATCATGCTTTGGGATGAGGACTTCCTTACTAAGAAGTGGAACAAAGAGGTGATTGCAAATTCTATTCAAATTAGGACTGAAAAGTAGAGGATTAACTCCACATAACAGGAGTAGAGAAGCTTGCGAGAAATAGTTGGTTGGAAATTATTACTAAGGACGAACAAAGGTGGATGCCAAAATGTTAACTTAAGTGGTTGAATGATGACAACGGAAATTTGCAAGGATAGCACCTTCTAGCTATGAGCGATTAAGCTCTGATACAAGAAATATAGGCTAAAGCAATGAGCATTGGAATTGTTCTTTGTCATTACTCGCATAATATCAAACCCACTATTTATAGAGCACAAGTGTTTTGCTGGCTATAAATTTCTATCCATGTGAAGTACAATAGCTGACCACAGAAGAAAATTCTGTTATAATAGGACTAATTACTAGACTATAAGTCTTTAAATACATCTATTGAGAACCTCCAACACTCTGTAGAAACCAATATACACATATTACATATATTCTTAAGAAACAATAGAGCCAAAATCGGTTGGCTGAGTGGTAAAAGTATTATATTTAATCTTAGATATCTTTTAGTCTATGAGCCCAAACCATGGTGGTAATTTAAGTATATAAAATTTCAGATGCAAAATCATCCTGGTTAAGCAATTGTCTCATAGGATTGGTTAAGGTGTATGTAAGTTGATCCAAACACCGATAGTTATTAAAAATAAAGGGTTTGTGTCTCTGCATGATTTTGTGTTTGTGCATATGCCATTGATTCACACTTACATGGCTCTTGTCTTTGATTCTGAAATTCCTGTATGCAACATAATTAATCAGTTTAGTGTTTATATGAAAGAATTTTACCCTTTTTTTATATTCTCTGTGTACCTTTTTGGAGCGTAGTTATTGAATATTGAATTTTTTAACAATGCATTAGCCACAAACAAGATGGTGCTATCAGAGGAGGAAATTACCAGGCTTTTCAGAATTCGAAAAACTGTGTTACAAATGCTAAAAGACCGAAGCTATTTTGTTGGAGACTTTGAGATTGACATGTCAAGAGAGCAATTTAAGCATAAATATGGTGAAAACATGAAAAGAGAAGATATTGTTATCAATAAAGCCAGGAGAAATGATAGCTCTGATCAGGTATTGTCTGATGCAAAGGGATATTCATTAGTATTCTCATTGTTATTCAGCAACAGGAGCATACAAGTTTCTTGTTAATTCTCCTATTTGTTTTCTTCTTCTTATAGTGTCTTTTCTTCTGTCTAGATATATGTTTTCTTTCCAGAAGAACAGAAGGTTGGGGTAAAGACGATGAAAACTTATACCAATCGCATGAAATCGGAGAATGTCTTTAGAGCAATATTGGTCGTCCAACAAAATTTGACTCCCTTCGCTCGTACTTGTATAAGTGAAATATCTTCTAAATTCCACCTGGAAGTTTTCCAGGTGAAAATATTTCTTTAAAATATTTCATGGAGTATTTTAATTATTTACTTAGTTTATAAAAACAACACCTGTTGAAGTAAAAGTAGATTCACCATTCACCAGTAATTTGAGGAAAATCATTGGAACCTTCCTACTCCAAAAACTACTAATCATGTCATGCTCTCTCCCTGTAGTCCTTATTTTGCACATTACTAATGAGAATTAAAAATATGGGGGGTTGCTGGATACTTTGGTTGAAGAACAATATTATTAGTTATCGTGAATATATTGAAGCCCTCCCTGAGTTTGCTCTAAACTTTCCGCTGAAGTTAAATGACTGAGATAGTTGTTCAATTGCTCCCACTTTTCTGAGCCTTAGATATAGAGGTTCTGGCTTGATTTCCAATCCTTGCTCCAACTTTTCTTAGTCTACAATAATCTTTTGTTCTTTTTCCTGTTTTCACTTGTCGATGCAGGAAGCTGAATTGCTAGTTAACATTAAAGATCACGTTCTTGTTCCCGAGCACCAGTTACTTACCAATGAAGAGAAGAAGACCCTGCTGGAGAGATATACCGTGAAAGAAACACAGGTCAGTATTAATTCTTTGGAAAATATGACATTTTGAGATTGCATCTTAGGAGCTATATTGTAATGTGATGTTCAATTCTGTTGTGTGTTTCAGATCCCATTAGATTACATACATTATTTACTGTGACTTAACCATATTTTGGTATCTTGTCTTCTGCTCCATTAAGTTTTCTTGGGAACAAAGTGGATCTATTGAGGTTGAAGTATATAAACCACAAGAAATTCGTTCATAATTATAGCCTCATTATGATTGTTAACAATTGGAAAGCTATCATTGTTTAGTGTTTGGGAGAGGGTGACCTCTGCCCTTAGGCTGCTTCCTCTTTTTGTGATTAATACATTTTTCGTTTCTTAAAAAAAAAAAAAAAATCCATTGAGGTTGAAGTTGATCTAGGATTCTAGCCTTCTAGGTGTAGGAGTTATAGAATACATTGTTAAGTTTTGGCATTCTAAGTTGAAGAAGCATCTCTTGTGAGTATATTCTAACATGTTCTTTATGCTAAAACTTCTTCATCAGTCAACTTCGCAACTTATTTTTGGCAGCCTATGTGAAGTTTCTTGATAATGTTTTATTCGTTTCATTGATTTTGCCCCATGTACCAAATTTGGAGATTTTTTTAGGTCCTATATATTTTTTTGTTCCACTGAGGTATTGTGTAGGTCTTACTCGTTGTATCATGTTCCTGGTCCTTCCCACTGATCTTAGAAGAAGTTTTGTCCACCCAAAGTTAGACCACAAGGCAAAAAGAGGTTTAAGTTATAAGGTCTCGTTTGATAGCGATTTAGTTTTTAGTTTTTAGTTTTTTGAAAATTATGTTGGTTTGCCTACTATTACAGTTTTCATGGTATGTTTTCACATTTTTTAAAAATACATTTGAATAAAAAATCTAAATACAAAAACAAGTGTTCGAAAACTACTCTTTTTTTTTTAGTTTTAAAATATAGATATATTTTTAAAAACTAGGTAGCAAAATAAAGAAGTACATAGGTGGAAGAAATGTTTACAAGCTTAAATTTTTAAAGTAGAAAATAAAAAATAAAATTTTTATCAAATAGAAAATTTCTTGTTTTCAGTGTTTTCGGACGTGTGTTTGGTACAAATTTGGAATTTGAATCTCAATTTAAAAAATTCTTCAACGTGTGTTTAGTAATATATATGTAAACTAGTGATAGTTACCAATTAAATATTTTATTCAATTGAAAATAGTATTACTTAATTTATTTAACATTTTTGTTATAAATTTTGTGAAATTATTATCTTACAATATTATATAATTTATAATATATTATGTTTTACATGTTTTAATTTTAAAAAAATAAACAAGTTTAAACATGGAATAGTATATTTATGAATGTTTTTATCGTAATCCTGCATTTTAAAGTTTCAAATTTAAAATCTGGAAACACTAAAGAAAATGTTTGTTTTCAGAATTTCCATAGTTTGGATCATAAAAACTAGATTTTGGGGTCAAGGGAATCGGACCCCGGCTTCGCCCGAAGCATGCTACGGAACGAGCCTTGTCTACGAAGCAAGTTCAGTCAGCGCATAAATCGTCCGCGAGTGTAGTTGACTAGTAGTACCATTAGCCTAAACGCTCCGTATCCTTCGCGGCCGCCAATAGTTCTAATTCCTTCGCTATTGGAACTATGACTCCCGCTCCGTAAACTACGCTCGCTGCCTCCCGGGTCTCGTCTCAAGCTGTGGTATAGACGGAGTTTCCTGCCTCCCGTCACAAATCCAGAAAAGGGTAGCTGAGAAAACCATTTTAAAAAATAAATCTGCCAAAGGCCCTAAGTTTTCAACTATGAGTTTGACTTTAGGATCTGCATAGCATCTCTAAAGTTAGCTCCAAAAGACAGAAACTGCTTTAAATTATTAACTTTCCAAGTAGAGAGTCAGAATCTAGGATCTCGTAGAATATATAATTCTTACCATTGCAGCACGTCTTAGGTTATCATCACTATCACTTAGTTATACAAATCACATTGAGCATTTTGTCGCCCTTACTGTCTCACCTATCCGTTTGGTGTGTGGATACGTATTTGCATTTCTTGTGCCAAATCAGTCAAAATCTTATGTGATTTTGCATGTTTTGTGTTAGCTACCGCGCATACAGGTGACCGACCCGGTTGCAAGATATTACGGGCTAAAGCGTGGGCAAGTTGTGAAGATCATCAGGCCAAGTGAGACGGCAGGAAGATATGTAACTTACAGATATGTTGTTTGAGTATAATTATTATTTTGCAACTGAAGAAGAAGATGTGATATATAAAATAATACACATTGAAGTTATTTTTCTAGCCTTAATTGGAGTTTCTAGTTGTGATATCTGAGTTGAGCTGAGGAAGAATTTGGGAACTTTTGTATTGTATTTGGGATTTAGAGGGAACCTTCATAGCATTAATAGTGGTTGTGTACTCAAAAAAGTAGTGTTGTACACTAGTTGATTTTTATGAAAATTATATTACATTGGAAGATTTTTTTTTTTTTTTTTTGTACAACATGTGGGGTGGAGGAGAGATAAGTGTCTTAATCACTTATTATGCTCGATTTGGCCATTGGAAGATTTCATTGTTCTTCATTAAAAGGTTTTTTTTTTGTAAGTTGACCCTATTGGGTGTGCATTTTTTTTTTCTCTAAACGAGCCATCTTTTGAGAAAATCACCGACTGCTGAACTAAAACTATAAAAGAGAGGGTTTTAACTCGTAACTTGGGTTTGGCGTCAAGAAAGTTTGAGAAATGATTTTAAATTCCGTGATTTGAAATCCAATAATTGATTTTAAATTTCTTATCTTGTTTGGAACGATAATGATTTGAAATGAAATAAGTTAAATTTCTTTTGTTCGTATGTTTGTTGGAATGAAAAGAAAATAAAAATCTTACTGATTTGGTCTTTTAATCTAAATTTATCATTTAGAAATTAAAATATGACAAAGTTAAATTTATAATTTACTTTGAAATTAAATTAAAATACGACAAAGTTAAATTTATAATTTACTTTGAAATTCTATGAAATTCTTCCAAATCCGACCATTTTGATCCGGATTTTTTTTTAACATAAAAACTGGTGAGATATCAAATGGGGCATATTTAAGTTAGCCCTTATTGACCATTAGATCATACCATGATGATTGCCTTTTATATATATAGCAATTGTAATAAGTACCCTACTTTAGTGGTGGCCTACTTTAGCGGTGGCCGGTACAATTTACCCTATTTTTTTACTTATAAAATCTAGTAAAACTTATTATATTTATTAATGCCTCTTTTTATATATATGTATATATATATCATTATACTTATTATATATATATATATATTATTTAATTTTTTTTGAGGCTTATACCTCACCTTTTCTTTCTCTAACAAAAACAAAAAAATCCTTTTTTTTTATTGGAAAAAAAACAAAACAAAAAATCTTTTAAGACCATGAAAATGTTTCAAAACCACATAGCTAAATATAGCCGCATGCATTATTTTTGTCCATAAATGAAGTTTTTGAATTTTGACAAAATGTTGATGTAGATATCTATAAAAAAAAAATCATAAAAAATCAAAAAGTGTTTAAATTATTAGAATGAACAAATAAACACATCAATCTAAATAAGTTAAAAATTCTTATTATTAATATTATATTTATATTAGTAATATTTTATTAATATTTTTTATATTTTGTCAAATATTTTCAAATATTATGAAAATACCGATTAACTCTTTATGTCAATGTCAAATTCATAGACTTATAAAAATATGGATGAAAAGGTCAGAATGTCGATAGTAATTTAATAATCTCGACGATAGATAGATGTAAAATACTAAGAACAATTTGTTCTTACCATTATTTATCTTTTCCCAACTTAGTAGATTTGCAAGAGTTCGATTACAAGTCTATCTATTTTCATATTGGTTTTCCAGCTAAAAATCGACGGTAGAAATCCAAAGCTTCACGTGGTTTGTACTCAGGTACGGTATGTCCGGATCCCTGCACCAAAACCAATGTACAAATTATCATCGAAAAGATAAAATAGGCTCAACTAGTTAAGGCAGACATCCTTGACAAAGTTTGAATCAACAATGCTATATGTTGAACTAAAAAAGGAGAGAATTTTTTTTGTCACTTGCCTTAACGGTTAGAAAAGTGAGACCATTCTCATAGCCTCGTACATACCTGCAACTCGCAAAGGTAGAATTCATCTTTTAATAAAGGCTAAAAGTGTAAAACACTAATTCCAGAGTGTCTAAAAGTTGCTCTACACATTTTTTCTCACTAATTACTAGTCACGTACACTTAGGACCCGTTTGATAACGATTCCATTTCTTCATTTTCAATAAAGAAAAATGAGTTGCATGACCCAATAACTATAAATTCAAATATGATAAAACAATATATTTATTCATGTTTTAGGGAAAATAAGAAATAGGAACGAGAAAGAAAAACTTGTTTTGGCTGTTTCCATATTTTCTATATAGTTTTATGTTCCAGAAAAAAAAAAAAAAAACAAGAAACATACATAATTGCAAAATGCTTAGAATTCTTTAAAAAATTGGAAACAAGAAACGGAAATATTATCAAAGGGTCCTTTTTAACTTTTTGATATAAAAAAAAACCTCTAGTGGATGTATTCTCAATTTAAGAAAAGAGAACATTTTCACGAACACATCCTAAAATCTCTTGTAACTGGTTATAAGCCTTATTCCATCTTTGTTATAACATATTTACATGCAAGTTTTTATCACCATTCATAACAGACTTTCAGCCTCAAAACTTTTCACATGCCTATAATGTTTTGCAGATTAAATTTAAAAAACATGAAATATGAAGGTGTAGAAAACCAGAAAACAAAGGTGACAAAATGACAATGGTACCCGACAACTTGATCGTTGGATAGCCAAGGCCTCCATTCATCGATGGTCTTGTACCCGATTGAATGAACCCATGCTTCGCTCCCGGTGTACGGAACACACATATCATGATCGCCACTGCTCGGAAAATAAAAATGCAACTAAGTTTCAAAAACTTAAGTTAATGAGTTACCGTAGATTTAAACTAGGGAATGAAGTACAACTCCGTACTCTTCTTTACTTCCTTGCACTTTTTTATGAGTACTCGTATTGATTTATTTTTATTATATTTAATAAAGCGCTCGACGTCGATATCGTACCTGTAAATAAGAGCTGGATATCCTTTCAAGGTAAGGTTTTTGTGGTATGGGATCATGCTCCCAGCATCATGGTTGAAGTTAATTTTATCAGTGCACAGCTCCCAGTTACCGGCCAAACTCTATTGCCATTGATAAGAAGAAGAAGAAGAAAAAACATTACAAATTGCTGAATTTTAAGGGGGTTTTAGATATAGGGAAGCATTGATAACCTCACCATGTCAGCATGGATTGCTTTCCTCACAGCTTCATTGTTCAACCATGCTGTTGCAACCTCGTCACTCTGTAAATTATACATGAATATTAGGAGGCATAAAATGAGGTAAAAGGGGTTGGAATTAATTTAATAAAATTTAATAATTTATTCATATGTGGTAACAAATCAAAGAGCAATCATATATGGACTATTAACGAGCATATTGAGTGGTCTTGATTATGAATCCATGACTTCTCATTTAGTGGTGTGGCTACTCGTTAATATTACAGGATTATGGTTCTCAATATACTTTGTACTTAGCTTCCTATTTGCTAATTGCCTCTAGATTGCATAGTTGAGGGAGACCAAAACAACAACTTCTTGCAGGTTATAATCAATCTATCTTATCATTGCAGGTAATTGTAATCTCCTTGTAGATTTTGATTTTCTTCCAATACTGAGATAATTTTATTGCTCTATCAGGGCCCGATTACCTCAATCATGAATAAACAAAATACAATAAACCAAATATCTTGTTCCTTTTTTGTCAATGTATTTGTTCCATACTACTCACAAATCCAAGCACATGAAAACCACAAAAGCTACGACAAAACAGAGTAAACACACAATGCACCATCAATCAAAATCCAAAAAGCTTAGGAGCTGAAACTTACAGTGCATGGAACCTCCACGCTTTCAAGGAGTTGTGGCCAAGTTGGAACAATGCCAGCTCTCACAGGAGCTCTAAGGGGCCAGGCACGTCCAAACATCCTCTTCCTCACCGCGAGAGGCCTCTCGGTCTCACCGAGCTCTCGAAAGCTGCTCGGCATCCTAATATTTATGGTCTTTATCGTGTCGGGGGCATGGTAGCATGGTTCCAAAATATTGTATATGTTTAAGCCATCAACCAGCTGAGATAAATGTGATACATTATAAAGTGAGTTCAAGAACATCATCTATCCAATTTGGTTACAGCACAAATGAAATTTAGTTTCTAAAAACCAGCTTTCCATCACCTCATCAACTTTGTCAAGCTTGCTCTCACAGGCATTGTCATGGGGATCATAGTAGTTTCCTTTGCAGGCCTCTTCAACTTGCTGCATTGGCACTATATATCAAGAATTTGGAGGAAAAAGCACTATTTTCTATACTTCAATTCATATCAGSGGTTGTGCAATTWCWGGMAAATCTTGTTCAAGGCAAAGAATGAAACTACACTTTAAAGTAAGGAATAAACCCACCTGAAACAGCTCATCAGAGATCAGGCCCATCCCATGTGCAAATGGAACAAGAGCATTTCCATCAAACACATCATCTGCAACTCCATTTCCTACCAAATAACCCTGCAAACCAAGTCACTCTTTTAGATGCATTAAAAGAAAAAATGGGTTAAGTCATCACTCTAGTTGCTATAGTTTTAAGCTTGATTTGAATTTGCGTCTTTGTTGTTTCAAAAAGACATCTATGCTATTCTATTCTAATAGTTTTTTTTACATGACATGTTTTTTTAGACGTAGTAGAGAGATGATGAGGTGGCATTCTCATCTGCTGTGTAGGAGTTTATATTTGGTAACAAATTAGGTGCGCATCTCCAAGAACTCTAATCTCCAAAACTCACTCTTTTTCAGCGCAACCTTTTCTAATTTAACCTCCACACATATGTTATGCTCAACGTTAGCCCATCATCTCTCTTCCATGTCTGAAGAAAAGGTGTCATGCAAACGAACTATTAAGATAACAACAAAGTACTTCCAGAAGTTTAACCAAACCATAGGGACCATGGAACTTGATAAACCATAGAGAGACCAAATCAGCTCAAGAACATCAGGACTGAAATAGTAATTTACCCAAAAATTTAAGGCTCTAGTTGGTTCATGATCCAATTTGCTATTTATGTTTCAAAAAAGCAAGATCTTGGGGAAAAATCAGCAGACTTAATAGCTTAGTTCTTAAAACATTAAAATGATGAATCTGAAATCAAACATGCTTTCAAATACGACAGACACAGTTCTATTCTCTGTATCCTTTATTTTTCAAAAACACAATAAAAAACCAAACGTGCCTAAATTTTAAGTGCCAAATAGATCAGATTGAATAAGTTTGATATATGCACCTTCAAGTTCAGAGTGGGCTTTACACCAGCTTCTAGTCCTGTAAAATAAGAGATTGCAAGTTAGTATGGAAGATTAAAGCACACAAAACTAAGAAAATAAGTCCTTTTTTTTTTATATCCATAAGTATTTAGCTAGCTTACGTGCACCCCAACTAATCTACTAATCTTCCGGATAAAACACTCGACCCTACYACATTTAGTTGCCAAAGAAAAGAAAATAAGTACCTTTTACAACTTCACTGACAAGCGTTGGCACATACACTCCTGCATAGGACTCTCCAGCAATGTAAAAGGGGTTGGCCTGAAACTCTGGRTACAACTTAAACCACTGCCCACAAAACAACACAATGTAAATACCACATCACTATATAAGTTAGGTAAATTTTTCATTTTTAAAAATTAAGAAGAGTTACCAAACCTATTCCAGTATCTTTTTTCAATTAAGTAGAAACAAGAAGAAACTACAAATAAATTTTTTTTGTTTTTTTCTTAAAATCTGTTAAAAAAGAGATTCTGAAATTTTCAGAARCACTACCAAACAGAACCAGTACCTCAAGAAGGAATTTATGTGAATCAGAAGCAGTCTTCAGATCACCAGTAGTATAATCAGATTCATCGTTTGAGTAAGACAGACCAACGCCAGCAGGTGAATCCAAATATATAATG